CTAAAGCAAATGCTACTACTTCACACCACCATCCTTAAGATGGAATTAAAGTCTGAGAGAAGCAAAGTGGAAAATATGACATTAAGCAATGATGAAAATTGGGATAATGAACATCTTCATATTGTGAGTACATAAATGACTGACATATAAATGATTCATCAAAAGCCTCAGAAAACCAGCATGATCTTCTCTATCGTGCAGCCCTGATGTCAAGGGGCTCAAGAGACCAGAGGTCTGCAGCAATTATTGAGCAACTACTAGGTATTATGAACTGTTAGGTGCTAGACACCAAAAAGATCAAGTTTTTAGCCTCATGAGCTTAAAGTCCAAAAGAGGAACACATATTAAGCAAATTATGCACACTTATCCCTAAACAGTTGCATTGAGTACTATAAAGAACTCAGATGTAATCAGAATGAATAAAGGAGAATCTTAAAAAATGAAGAACCAGCAATGATGAGGCCTGCTGTGAGCAAGGAGGTCAGGGGCAAGACAGAAACCAAAGCCTCCTGTGGGCACAGACAACCTAGAGATGGCCTTGAAGTGGACCTTGGAGTCTCAAGAAGCTTTCTTTGACCATCATCCCTTCTCTTCCTTTTGGCTGCCCCATTTATACCCAAGTGATGCGGTCTGGCTCTGTGTCCCCACCCAAATCTCATCTTGAATTGTAATCCCCACATGTGGGGGGAAGGACCTCATCATGGGAGGTGATTATATCACAGGGGCAGTTCCTCCATGCTGTTCTCATGATAGTGAGTGAGTTCTCATGAGATCTAATGGTTTTATAAGGGAATTTTCTCCCCTTGGCTATGCAGTTCTCTCCCTGCCACTATGTGAAGAAAGACGTGTTTGTTTTCCCTTCTTCCATGATTTTAAGTTTCCTGATGCCTCTCTGGCTATGCGGAACTGTGATTCAATTAAATTCTTTCTTTATAAATTACCAAGTCTTGGATATGTCTTTAAAGCAGCATGAAAATGGACTCATATATCAAGCATTGAACAATCAGCTTGACCCAAATGTGTATTTATAGGCCCAACTATGCCTATTCATTCATTCTTCTGTTCATTCAAGTCAACAAAAACATTGTGAACACCTGGCATATCCCAAGCAATGCTGCTGAGCTGCACATCATCATTTCCATCTCTTCACTAGAGTTCTCCACATCAATGTTCTACAAGTTCCTAAAGCTCTGTTTGCTCAAAACCAATCTCTGTTTTCACATCATACTTTGAATTGTGTTCATTTAGGTCACATGCCTTCTATCTGCTATCAGAAAGTAAGCTACCAAGGGGGGTTTATTCCAATGTGCTTTTTTTGTCTCCCAAATAATCTGACTGCCTAAGAATCTAGTGGTCACAGGTGAAGTTCTAATACTGCACTTACTACATTGTTGGATGATCCATGTCTTAACTTCTTCTTTTGTGCACTATACTTTGAACTTTTTGAGGATTAACAAGAATAAATAATGAATGAATGGATGGATGGGTACCTTATATTTTCCTCAAACACAATCTTCCTACTGATTTCACCATATCACTTTGGTCACCACTTATTCTCACCATGACCAACCCACCATCTTTCCAGGGCATCTAAATCTTGACATTACCATTATCTCCTGATTCACTGGTCTTCTTTAATATCTAATGAGCCATCAAATCTTGTTGCCTCTACTTCTGCAGCCTTACCCAAATCTTTTCTATTCTCCCTGTCAACACCTCGGTTCAGATTTACTGCCTCTTGAAAAGAATTATTATGACTTGTCTCCCATTTTGGCTCCCCAAACCCATCCACATTAAACCAGCTGTTGCCACATGAACTTTCCCACACCGTAATTCCATCCTGCCAATCCCTGGTTTATGAACACTCAAAGCCTCCCTTTAATCCACTGCATCAATTTTAGAGCACTCAGCTGGATATCAAGGCTCTATACATTACCCCATCCACATTTTGATTCTAATCTCCCACTGCTTCCCTACTGATACCTACTCCTGTTCTCTGCCATTCCCCAACCAAAACGACTATGCGCTGTTTACTAAATATATCTTACGTTTTTCACCTGTTACTTTTGCTTGGGCACATGTCCCCAGTTCCATACTTTGAGGCCCATCGTAAATGTCAGCTTTTTCATGAAGTAGATCCTGATACCCCAATAGACGAGTTCTCTACCTCCTTTGAGTATCTGCAGCTCTTCGTATTTCCTTCTTAGAGTTCAATCTCACCTTGTTTTACTTACAGTCACCTGGCACTTATCTTGTCCACTGCAATACAAGCACCCTGAGGATCAGTGGTTTCTTTCTTTATCTGTTTCTCTGCAGAGTCTAGTGCAATTGCTTTGCAAGAGGCAATCAAATATGGTTGAACTGAACGAAACTATACTGTGAGCTCCTTGAAGACTGACTTTAAGTACCCTGTGTCTCTCAAAACTCAGTGAGTGTTCTGTACATAATAGGTACTCAAAACATACTTTTCACATAATTTTATGGTTCCATGGTAAAGTTTTTAAAGATACATCTAACATTGGCATCAACCTAAAGTATTCATTTAGAAACCTCTCACCAATTAACATAAAGGAAAAAAGAAAGAAACCTGATTTGAACACTCTGGATTCTTTCCTTTAGTTTTGCGTGATGATGCCTAACTCTTACAGATGCTTATCACGTGCTAAGCACCGAACTCAAAGTCTTATGACTGTCATCTCATGCAATACTCACAACAGGACTATGAAGCATTGTTTTTTTCTCATGTGGTGGGTGGGAGGTTTAGAGAAATAAAAACCTTGATCCTACAGTCAGCGAGTGGCAGAGCTGAGACTGGAACCCTTGTCCTCACCATCATGCCGTACTGCCTTGGTTGTGTTTGCTGAGCATGTATCAGTTTGAGTTTAAAGAAACTTTTTAAAAAACTTTGACCTATATCTTAATATCATTCTTTGAAATATAAAAACTTCTTGACACTTAAAGAGTGTTTTTTATTAAAAAAAAAAAAAAGAATTGTTAAATCTATTTCATCCACTTTCCAATGTTAAGCTTCAAGTTTAGGAGACTATTAATATTTTTTCAAATCATGTGTGTAGTCAACACTTGATTATGTCCCCCAAAGGATGGAGTAGGTAACAAGGACAACAAACTACCAGATAACTGAACAGTCACTTAATTTTGGAAAACAGTCTAGGAATTTAGAATCAGAGATAGACATTTACTTTCCATTCCCCATGCAAATCTTTACACACTTGAAAAATTCTACTGGGAGCCTGGACCCTGGCTGGCTGGCAGAGCAAAGGGGTGAGACTTGTCACAGATAATCCACAAATAAAGCAAAATGATCAGACATTTTTCTCTTTTCAAATCCCTATTCAGTCTGATTCTGACCACAATGCTGAAAAAAAATACACCAAGCACCAAGTAGCCGACAGATTGCAAAACTGAGAGAGAAGGATAAAGGGTTATACTGGTCCTAAACATGATGAAAGCACACTGAGAAAACTCATAAACTATAAAAGGTGTTGCTTCTTTGGTTCCAGAGACACAAGCATGTGAAGCAGAGACACACGTTGGTAGAATCAAGGAGAAAGCACTGCCAGACTACTCACAAGTAGCTCTCTAGCCTCTTCAGTAAATATTATTACTAAAGATGAGATTTATAACTTAAGCTGGAACCCTCTCAAGCAAGGAAAAACTCCATTGTTTAGTAAAATAAAGTAGAAACATGACTACTGATATTGCAATGCTCCGGTCTTCTATTTATCCATTCAAAGCAAAATAAATACCATATAGACAGTCCGGTAATACTAACTTAGTATTTAGTCATAGCTACTTTTCTGGATTTAAGTATTAATGATAAAATACATTATCACTGTAGACATAATGAATCTCAGTGTCTTAAGTGATACTTTAAAATCCAAATCCCATTTATGAAGTAAAACTTCATTATCTAAATTTTCATTCCTTTAAAATGATCTAAAAATGTTCAATTGTTGATACTTCAGTATTTCAAAGTTACAGATCATATGTTCAGAAAAGAATTAGGGAAAAGAATCAGCCTCCAATATTCACAAACGTGTAATGGAAAATGACAGCCCTAAGTACCCATGTGCACTGCTTATTATTCTGCCAAATTCCTCTCCTACAGCAGAAGTCATTAAAAGAAAAACAAAGCATATCGTTTAAAAATGAGTTTAAGTCAAGTGAAAGTATTATATGACACTGAAAGCTTCCTAAAAAATACATTTTAACTCAATCATGAAAAAAACAAATACAGGTAATGCAAAATAAAAAAAAAACACAACAAAAACAATTTTGCTCCAAGACAACTGAGTAAATACATATTCTTAACAATTTGTAACTGCTTTTAAGAAATCATCTATATTATAATTAGCTGAATGTTTCTATGGATATGGGATGCTAAGATGGAGTGTGTACACTGGTTCCCACTCAAAAAAGAGATTCCTGACTTCCTATTTCAGATCATCACAATTCTCACATAAACTCAAAACCTGTAATAGCTTTAATACTGTGAATGTGAAGTACTGACTCTCTGGAGAAAGACTTACCTTGAAGTGAATTGCTTTTCCGTTAAAAATGACCTTTTATTCCTTTGAAAAGCAACTTTGTCCACATTACATCTCTAGAATAATGAAACAACCATTCATCCTGATTTGGATAGGAGTAAAAGAGGTAGAGAAAAACAAATCTCATACAATCCTCCCCTCACAAACCTCAATCCTACTTCATGATTTTCCCCTTAAATTTAGCTATTTTAAAAAACGAATAGTTTTGCTATATTTTCCCTGGAGCATTCCTTATCAAGATTAAAGAAGGGCTTATTCGGACACAAACAGGATACAGGAGTAATGGTTCAGCTTCCAGGCAAGCTATAAATAGCTGCAGCATTTTCAAGAAATCTTGTGCCAGTGTGTAAGTTGCAGTTAAAACATGCAGTGCAGGTTTTATTACAATGGTGTCACCAAAATTCATTGTTAAGTGAGAAATTCAATTCTTACCAAGTTTTCTTGGTTCCTGGCTGCTATTTTCTGCTCTTCTTCTGCCCCATTTTTCATGTATTTGACCTCTTCCACTGGTTTGATCCTATACTCGTCTGAGTACCAAAAAAAGAAAACATATTTTATAAATTTTTCCCCAACAGTAGCAAAGTGTCAATCAGAAAATCCCAATAGCATACTTTGCTAGACCCTTTAGCCTGTGGCCTTCATATATGGTTCATTTGGAAGAAGCTTAACCAGGCATCTTTGGATCTTTTTGTGCAGCTCTCTCCTCTGCCTGCTGGAAAAAAGCTCAGTACCATAAATGCAGCTAATCAAAGTGTCACTGCCTGGTCCTTCCACAGAGAGCAGATATTGCAGAAGAAACAGGATTCTCCATCTCTAAAGACTTTTTGAAATGTATGTTACACTAGGACGTATCACAGAATTGTCTAAGATTCAAGAGAATATTTTTATTCTCCCCAAGAGACTGTTAGTCCAAAAATGCCAGCAATTTTCACTGATATATTCATTCTTTAATTTCTCTTTGGAAAAAAACAGAGTAAGACTAAAGAGTTATATTGATAAATAGAAACAACTGAAGAACCGAGATTTTTTCTTTCAGTAATCCCTATATTAAATTTTAGCAGTCTGCAATTATTTCACATTAAGTATATATTATATATTTACTTCACACACACACACACACACTTTAATTCAATCTCTCTGTAAAGTCTAATGCATGAAGAGCTATTATACCTAATAGATCAAATGGGTAGGTTTTGCACTCAAGGCTGGACGTGGATGGGACCCTAGTCTCCACAACAGCCCCAATATCACACAGATCCCAATATCAATAAACATCAAACAATAAACTCAGGAAAACTTGCAGCTTACGTTCTCCAGAATACTGATCACCATGATGACATTTCCATCAGATTCCTGTCAACAGGAAATGACTGGAGCACACGAAAGTCAAAAATAGGTGTGACTCTGAATCCTTCTTAATCCAATTTGTGGGAAAAATCACAGAAATTGTGAAATTAGAAAATATCATCAACCAACAAACTGACGACTGCCTGGCGTAGGTTATGGAGTAATGTCTGACTATAGGGACCACCTAAAAGACAGCTGTCTGTCACTAAGAGAGTTTCTATTTCAGTTCAGAAAGTTGCAATATATTTTCTTACTAACTATGATTAAATGGTTACAAAGATGATTATATAATTTCTTTCCTCAGTATCTATAACAGCACTTTCTAATATAGTTTCAGGTTTCCTCATTACCCCTTAACACACAACTCCCAAAGATGTTCAGGACACTATACAGCATAATATATAAAATATACTAACATTTCTGCTAGTAATTACACTGTTCAAATGTTTCTCAAAATTATCATTCTTATGAATGTGATACATTTGCATGTATCTGAATAAAGACTTCATGTTCACTGCTAAGCCAACTGTTTTTTCCACCTGACAATTCAGTCATCATTGATTCTATCTTTTTGTAAAGATATTAGAAAGACTAGTGTGAGGTTCAGTAAGGAGCCCTTTAGGAATATTAGGTCCTAAATGCATTAACAAGTTAATTAATAGATTCTGATCCACAATTACAACACAAAAGAATTTTACATTCCAACTTGGAATTTAGAAGAGACACTAACACTGACAAATTGGATGAAGGATTATTTACTGAGAAGTTGGGAAAACAATTGTTAATTAAAAAAGAGAAGACACTGACAAATTTGCCCCCAATACAATTATGCAGACATAAAACTAAAAGTTAAAAAAAAAGTAAAAACGGGCCTCCCTAACTTCAGTTTGGGACATTAGTATTTATAAACCCTGGTGGACTAAGATAATTACTATTAATACCTTTTTTTTTTTTTTTGAGACAGACTTTCACTCTGTCACCCAGGCTGGAGGCGGTAGTGCAATGGCATGATCTTGGCTCACTGCAACCTCTGCTTCCTGGGTTCAAGCAATTCTCCAGCCTCAGCCTCCCAAGTAGCTAGGATTACAGGTGCCCGCCACAACACCTGGCTAATTTTTTTTGTTGAGGTCAGTCAGGAGTTCGAGACCAGCCTGCCAATGTGGTAGGCTGGTCTCGAACTCCTGACTGACCTCAAGTGATCCACCTGCCTCAGCGTCCCAAAGTACTGGGATTACAAGCGTGAGCCACCACCCCCAGCCTATTGTTAATAACCTTTAACTGAACTAAATTGTGAACTTAGTTGCTATTGGTGAATTTCTAATTATTTAACTACACAAAATACTGATAGGTATTGATAGATATTTATATATATATTTCTTTACCTAGCACAAGTGAATTCTGTGATTTTTTTTTTTCCATAGGATACGGAAGAGGGTAACATTTTCAGACCTAAGCAGAACCTTCTGAAAGACCCAGATGGCCCTTTGCCCACTGCACGGTGAAGGTTTCTCCTAGGGAGGAGATGCCCTGGCCTTGCCCACTGTCATCTCCCATCTGCCAAGCCACAGACTAGTGCAGATGTATTCTGAGCAGCCTGGCGATGTTGAGTCTTCATTTTCTTACCCCTCCAGGGAACACAACTGAATTGAAGGTAGTGGACAAACTCTTACTATTTTTCCAATATGTTTCTCCAATGAAATGGAAAAGCTATTGGCTACATGACTTTCAAAGCAGCATTATTCTAAACACAGGCATTTTTTAAAAAAAATCAAGACAGAATCCCCACCAATTTAGACAGAAGATAGGCTTTAACATGTCATTAACAACCCTGGCTGGCTTGCCAACGTGGTGTTAGAGGAACACATGAAGACTGGATACAAAGGAAGAGAAAACAAACAGCCACGACTACAAAGCCAGACCTATCATTATTACTTACACAACACACCGCACAAAATCTATCATGGTATAAAACAAGAAAAGCTGGCAAGACCCTTCAATAGGACACAATTTGTACAAAGCAAATACTTAAAAATGGTCTGTCACATTCTCAAAGGCTGGTGCCGGGAATAAAGATGCCCATCTGGAAACAGACATCCCATCAGCAAATGCACCACACATTCCCAAGGCAAGGAAGCCACCAGGAACGCCCTACCTCATCAACCGGCCTCTGAGCGAATGAATGAAGCATTTTGGGTTACGACAGTAAAACAATCACAACTGAAATCCAGTTTTCCTTTTGTTGAAGGCATGGAGGATTAATTTGAGACTTTAGGCTCCCATTATCAGAGCACACATCGGAGGGAACTGGGGACAGCCACTGTTCCAGCCAGAGGGTCCTAGCAGCAGAACAACGTGCAGACTGAAGAGCAGGGAGAAACAGGGCCCGTCTTCCTCCATCTCCCCCCAGCTCTCTTGCACCTGTTCACAATTTTTCTTTTCTTCCTGTTGATCTTGTCAGGTGGCTTATTAAAATGCACATCAGCAACAGTAGGCTGACTCCCTGTTCCCTGCATGTAAACAGTTGAGGGCTGTGCTAGTCAAAATAGATCTTGGGTAAAAGCAATGCCTGGGTGATATTTTTAGCGTTTTATTCCTCAGACTACATCCAAGAGGGCTGGGACTGTTTGGTGACATTGATCAAAAGAAGACTAGGTGAGAAAGTATCAGAGTAGATTCAAATTTTCATTGTTTTAGAAAAGCTAAGATGCTGGGCTGGGCGTGATGGTTCACGCCTGTAATCCAAGCACTTTGGAGGCCAAGGCAGGCAGATCACCTGAGGTTGGGAGTTCAAGATCAGCCTGACTAACATGGTGAAATCCTGTCTTTAAAAAAAAAAAAAAAAAAAAAGAAAACCTAAGATCCTTTCTGACCTCAAACAGTAGTGGCTACAGGCTGCTTCTGCCTCTTTTCCTGCTTCGCCCTTGAATACGTACATCTATGAACATTTTTAACTTTTTAATAATCCAGATATGCCAAAGTCACTCCAGCAACCATTTATCTAGTTTCCTTTAAAAGTCTGTTTTATTCATTATAAAGGTAACCTCGTAGCAGATCTTCTATCTGCAAAGCTTGGGAGGAATGAGGTCTGGCCCGTGAGTTCTAGGAGGGTTATCTCTACTGATAACAAAATGCTTGGATAGCACAGAGGGCCAATCCCTTCATGTCCCACGAGTGACTCTCAATCATTTGGAACTGTGTATCTAGAAAGCCAAAGATCTGCTTGGAAATTAAGTTAAGGCATTTTCTGACAGTAAATGTACCTGAAAGTCAAACAAAAAACAAAAAGGCTCCCAACATTTGAATGATTTGTACTTCAAAGTGCCTTTCTGCATAGAGTACATAAAAGAAGAGATGGGTTTATTTCCAGGATATTCTATGAAATCCATGTAATTTAATGCAGCCAAGCCAAGTCTTTAAGAGTACCAACACCTTGGTACTAGGTCCTGGGAGGAGAAAGTCATGTGATTCAGGCAGGTAGAGAAGGAGAAAGGAAACATTTCTTTCTCTTTTCTTGGATGTAAGGCTTGAACTGTGCCAGTATTTCAATCAGGCAAAGTGTGACTTTGATGTCAAACGATCTTGTCTTCTAAACCCATCTTAAATCTCCCTGGAAAGCCCAATAAGCCTCCAATGCCTTCTGCGGCTTTCCTGACCCTTCCTCAGTCCCCTCCCCTACCTCTTTTGTAGCCTTCCACTGAGTGTCCAGAAGCTATTTTTCAAACTTGTATCTTCTCAGACTTCCTTTCATGCCAACCAAAAGATGATTCTTGTTAAATTAGGGATCTCTGATTAGTGTAGTTCTAAGAAATGTAATACAAAGGGAAACAACTGAGGCTGGACAGGTGCTATGAACGGGAGTGGGGTGTGGGATCCGCAGTTACTTCTTAAGGCAGGAAAGTTACCATTGGGCAAGCCAGCCTTACCCAGCCGTTATTCTTTTTGGGGTTCGCTGAGCTTTTGGGATCCGTGGATTGCCACTTTTAATCAAATCTGGAAGAATTTTAAAGCTATTATTTCTCCTCCCTCCTTCCCTTCGCACAGACTGTAAATGCTGGTGCCAGGTTGAGAACCCAGGCAATGACTCTAGAGTCCACATTAACTCTATGCCATTGTGCTATGCTTTTAAACCTATCTCATCTCGCCTATCAAACTCATTTCCAAAATACGGTTTTGTGTTTCT